CGTAACATTGCAAAAATCAGGCATATCTTGCCTCAAAACGATGGAGAGAAACTAGTCCATGCATTTGTTACTTCAAGGCTGGATTATTGTAACTCCTTATTATCAGGGTGTACCAAGAAGTCAGTCAAGTCGCTTCAGCTGATTCAAAATGCTGCAGCTCGTGTACTAACCAGAGTTAGGAAAAGGGACCACATTACTCCTGTTCTGGCTGCCTTACACTGGCTCCCTATAAAACACAGGATATAATTTTAAATTCTTCTTCTCGCCTACAAAGCCCTTAATGGGCAGGCGCCATCTTACCTTAAAGAACTCATTATACCCTACTGTCCTACTAGGGCATTGCGTTCCAAGAATGCAGGGTTGTTGGTTATTCCTAGAGTCTCTAAAAGTACAATGGGAGCCAGAGCCTTTTCTTATCAAGCTCCACATTTGTGGAATCAGCTTCCAGTTTGTGTTCGGGCGGCAGACACCCTATCCGTTTTTAAGAGTGCGCTTAAGACCTTCCTTTTTGATAAAGCTTATAGTTAGGGCTGATTAGATTCAGCCCCTAGTTTTGCTGATATAGGCTTAGTTTGTCGGGGGACATCTTACTTCTTCATTCTCTCTGTCTATACCTGTGTACTCTCATGTTCCGATTAACCCAGCTTCCCCAAATTTCTTTCTTTTTGGTGTCTATATACGCCGGGATCCGGAGTCATGGATGATCCTGCGGTCCTGTGTCCTGGATCGCGAGCCCTGGATCTTGAGTCGTGGCTGTGGTCCTGGATCATAGGTCCTGGATGGATATCCTCGTGGATTCATCTTCCTATTATACACACATGCATTTCCAAATATTTGGACTACCTATGTTGCAAATGTATTATCTTTTCAATTTACACACGGCATCTATTGCACGCCTGTCCGTCCTGGGAGAGGGATCCCTCCTCTGTTGCTCTCCCTGAGGTTTCTCCCATGTTCCCTTTAAACTGTGGGTTTTCTCCGGAAGTTTTTCCTTGTACGATGTGAGGGTCTAAGGACAGAGGGTGTCGTATTGTCATACTGATATTCTGTACACACTGTGAAGACCACTGAGACAAATGTAACATTTGTGATATTGGGCTATATAAATAAATATTGATTGATTGAATGTAGCATAAATGTGAACTCTCATAACAGGAACAATACCGGAAACAGACGTAGGAAAGATCCTCAGCTCGCTGATTGGATGTTTTAGCCGCAATGCACGTTTTTAAAGATATTACTGATTTGTAAATACTGAGTTGAGAGAATAGTAAAGTAAACATATATTGTTCTAAACTGTATTAAAGTAAACATGTATTATTTTAATCTGTATTGAAGTGAACATGTATTATTTGGGACTATTTTCAAGTAATCCTATATATATAACCTTCTCACTTACACTCACTGACCCAGATACCAGCACACACACATATTCTTTTCAAGGTTCTTTCTGGGGCCAATATAATCTCAGGCACCAATATATCTGTGTACAATGTTTGATTGTCTGGGAAAGAATAGTGTGTGTGAAATATTCCTTGGGAAAGTAAAGGAGTGAATTCAGGTGTAAGTTAGAGATTTGGGGGGGCGGAGCAACCCGCACAACCCTGCCCCCAAATATGTCTACGTATACTGATGTTTATTCATGCACGATGCCCCCTGTTTCTGACTGGCTGGTCCCGATATCTGTATCGCACGGCAGTAGAACTGGGAGTCCAGAGTACTCTGTAACTTGTATTGGTGTTTTTTACCATTAAAATCAGATTATTGTTCTAACTTTTATTCCAGTGTTTTGAACTCCTTCTTTTATTAATCTGACCAGGCTCATCTAACGGACGGCGCGGAGCGGAGGTGGGCTTTAAGCCACCACCATGGTGTTTGCTCCTACAATAGTCAGGGGATTTGGGTGATGGGAGACACATCTATGGAATCACAATTTCAATAGCTTACCATTAAATGACGGATATACCTTTCTGTCTGTGATGTTTTACAAATCAGATATTAATGTGTAGAAGTAAAACAGGAGAAATAGTATAGCAATATCCTGTAAAATTATGTAAAAACATGAATAAAACTAAATATCTTCAGATGTTATACATACATAAGTGTCCTACACTAATAATACAAAGTTATTATTAGTATGCTGTGTGTACCTTGTGTGCACCGCCTAGTGGTTAAAGCACGTTATTGAATTATTTTTGTTGAATAATGTTATTTTTGTTTAATAATTTTATTTGATGAAAAAAATATTAAGAGTACATACTTTCATAGGGGGAAATTAGAAGGTCAATGATAGAAGTATAGAATATAAAAAAATCAAGAAGATACTGTAAGTGATCTCTACAATAAAACAGTTTAGTGCTGGATGTCCAAAGATATTAATAAGAGGATGTGCAAAACAGACAAACTAATTCACCTTTATTAACACATTAAAGAATACTTTAGGTTAAGGTCTTCTTTCAAATAAGAAAAAAGCTTTGGGGGTATCTATCTACAGATAAATATTAAGCCTAACAAAGTACTTAACGTCTAATATATTGCTTTCCTGCAATGTTAACTATGTTGAAGCATTTATTTTAACTGATATTATACACATTAATTATACTCTTATGTATGTAGATAGAATAAGAAATGTGCATACTTTGACAGTTTAATGGTGGAGGTATACACACATATTGATAGATGTCTTGTAATGCACTATTGAGGAACCTGTGACCCAAGATTTTCATTCATTGCATAACTACACCGTAGTCGTGTATATGATATGTCAATAAACCTTACAAAATCTTGAAATCTTGAAAGGGATGTGCAAAATAGCAATTATATACAGTTTTTAATTAACTATTAGTAGAGAATAACGAGTAATGAATATACTTTATAGAGATCTGCAGATAAATGTTTAGTCTTCTCAAGCACCAAATATCTCTCCTGATTGTTGGCACTTGACAACCACCTTTCCCTGAATTTTACTCAGATGTAACTAAAGTCTGCTTTAAGGGTTGTTTATATTTCACATCATTAATCAGAATCTGCAGAGTAACTAAAGTAAATGTAGTGGAGCAAAAATACCAGGTTAACCTCTGAATTGTCGTGGAGTAGAATTACAAAGTAACAATAAGTAAGTGGCTACTGCTTGAGATCGCATGCTGTGGTTTTATTAAATGTGCCAACTGCTAGGACTGTCTTAGGGAAGATAGCTTTTAGATGCGCAGCTCCTCTGTCTTGGAACACTCTGCAATTGAAATGGAAACTGAGCAATCTGGTGCCCCTAAATGTTTTTAAAGCTTGGTTGGATGCTACTCAATCGGAAGCTGTTGGTACCTGCACATGTGGATAGTTATGTAAATTGTAAACCCTGTAATGATGCTGTAAGATATCCTTTTTGTTGTTTTGTTTATGTTTTTATGTTTCATGTGGAACCTACTTGAGCAGGTCTCCCTTGAAAAATAGATCAATGATCTCAATGGGATACACCTGGATAAATAAAGGTTTGAAATGAAATGAAATGAAACAATGAGCTGTCATGTGGGTATATATTAATGCTGCCCATTATGGATACAAGCGATTTTCACCCATTTAGTAATTACATGTTTTAAATGTGTACACACCAATGGGTTTCCTATCGCCTAAACCTCCAGGGCTGTACACAGTTTAATACTGTCAACTTCTAATTTTGGGAAAAACGAAAACGTCTTTTAAAACTACAATTCCCAGTAGAGACGTGCCATGGAGAAAATGTTGCGAAACACAATAGCCAGCATGTGTAGTTCTGGGCGGGCGTTCAAGTCCAGTTTTGAATAGTCTGCCGTGGTTTCGTTCCATTTCAAAGAGCTTGACGCTCGTCGTAACCTTGGCGCACTGCCACTCCAACATCCAATCCCAGAGCCTGAAGATTAATCACGGGGTTTGTCGCAAAGCGGACAGACGTCGTCACAACAATAGCTGGGGATTGTGGGTAGTGTAGTCTCTTTGGCGCCCCACATTTCAGAGAAAACAAGTTGTTTCTCAGAATTGAAGGGGAAAAACACAAAAGCATAGTACACTTAAAACCTATCAATGTTGTTTAATTAACAAAGGTAATCTGGTGTTTTTGAGTTGATGAGTAGTGGAGATATCACTGTCAAATCAATGGACAGTAAGGAGAATACTTACCTCCGGGTGTGCAATTATCCGTTATCCAATGGGAATGGACGCTCACATTGCCTTTAAGAGCTGCCGACATAAATGGATGCGGTGCTTCCCTGAGCGTCAAATACCGCCGCCGATGGGAATACATTGCAATCAGTTGAAAGCTCTTTGCGTCCATTTATGAAGCTGAAGGAGCCTCGGCGCGTCCCAACTGCACGCCAAAGGACCCTGACCAAGCGTCGCTCCTGGACGCTTAGGGAGTGAGAGTGTGTTGGCTCAGAATGAGTTTAGCTTGTTCTTGCTGTATTTGTTTCGCCGACACGGGAGCCCTGTCTGCTCCTCACAGCAGCTCCTCACTGCTTGTGAGGCTCACAACCTCACGAGCAGCTGCACGTCGCTTGACCAATCAGAGCACACTGGGCTCACAGGGAGGGGGGGGGGGGGGGGGGCGAGCTCCAACAAGCCGTTTAGGACAGAGAGTGAATACCGGTGAATACACATACTTTACAGAGATGCTGTATGAGAAACCAATGTGAGTTTGGAAAATTGCACAGTATAAATCTATTTTAGTATACCTCAACAATGGATTTATGATCAGTAGAAATGGCCATCACATGGGACCTTTATCCTCAAGAGTAGCTGATGTTCTGCATCAAAAAAATTATCATATGGTCTTCTGTAACTTGTCTCTTACTGTGGAGTATCTGAACAGAAATCATGTTGTCTTATAGTGGATCATTAACCTATAATTATCTCCAAACAATTGATTTGAAGATGCAGAAGAAAGCTTGAGCGTGAACATCAGTTATGTCCTGTCACAGGACAAAAGTTAAATCAGACACATTATCGATCCAACCCAAAGCAGCCACACTCACCTATATATCAGGATATCATCAGTAGAGCTGTTGTACTGGATCTGGTACATGCGGACTCCGGGTATGTGGTTCTGCGGTGGCCATCTGATGGTGGCAGCACTGGACGTAAGATCAGACACACTGACCCTCTGCAGGTCGGAACGTGCCTGACCCCCGCTTGCGTTGGACTTGATAGATGTGGGGATGTCTGAAGGCCCCGGGTCAGGGTCCAATTTAGGGTCAAAGTGTGGTGAGGGGTTGACCACTAACTCAACAGGAGCAGTGGCTTCCCCTGCCGCATTGGATGCTATGCATGTGAACTTTCCAGAATCCTACAAATATTTGAAGAAAAGAAAAGGCTGGAAAGTTTATACAGTATTTGCTTTTATGGGAATTCAGCCTCATGTAGCCAACTAGTGTATTACTAAAACAAACATTTCCCCCCTTGCTTTTACAGATGAAATAAAGAAGTGTCTTAGAAAAAATATCCTGGCAATTCTTTCTTCATTCTATTTGAGTTTCCTCCTAAATGCCAACACTAAGCTGCAGTTCTGGTTGTAGAGGTGTTATGTAATTATGGAGGATTTGAATCAAATCTAATTTTAATTTACGACACATATAAAAAGCACTGCACAAAGTACAATTAAGACTCTGCATCTCACCCATCCTAGCATTAGAAGGCAGGAGGCAAAATGGTTGGTCTCCAGAGAGGCTTCTCAATACTCTAATTTCCCCTCCTCGACTCCTATCCTCGACTCCTATCCTCGAGACTTAGTCCCGCCCACAGGAGATGCGAGCGGAGGAGTCGAGGAGGGGAACCGAGGAGAGAGGAGGGGAGCCGAGGAGAGAGGAGGGGAAGCAGCAGGCGGTTAGAGAAGTGAGAACTCCTCTCCTCTGAGCGGTCATTTTAAAGAGACGTCCATTAATGATGACAGGAGGCACAGCAGCACTCTGTCTGATGGACAGATGTGTTCATGATGACTTATATATTTACTTTGATTCATTCACAGTGCGGTATAATGACACAATAACAGGCTACAGATGCGGACATATACACACACAGCTTTCACCTGTTCAACCTGCTGCCCTCCGGCCCGGCAGGTGCTACAGGTGTATACAATCCAAAACAAACAGACTCAAAGACACTTTTTTCCCAAGAGCCATCATTGCTCTTAACACCTGAAATCATACCTCTTAATCATCATAAATGTGACTCTGTACATACATATATATGATGACTATTATTATTATAAATACATACTATTATTATTCTTTATTATATTACAGATTTTATTTTTATACTCCTGGCAATAATTACTGCACTGTATTCCTTATTCCTTTATTCCTTATTCCTAAGTATGTATGCTGCGTTTTTTTTATATCATTGTACATGTATGTAATGACATTAAACAATTATATTCTATTCTACATATATTTATATAAATATATACAATTTCAGAATCAAACAAGTATGAGAGCACTCTCATAATAACATAACACAATCAGAGACTGGATATATCCCCCCCCCCCTTCTCTCTGGTCGCTGAAATGGGGAATTGAAATTACGGGCCAAAAGTTGTATTTACAAGTAGGCCTAATAAAAGTAAGCAGAGGACACCAAACCAACTGAGACCTGTCTGTCCGCTGCATCTACACACTGTACAACACACACACCTACACACTGTACCACACACACACACCTACACACTGTACCACACACACACCTACACACTGTACCACACACACACCTACACACCAGAGTTCCCGTTAGAATATTTTTTCGCTGGTCAACATGTCCGTTAAAGTTTAAATCTTCCCGGACAAAATGAGAAAAGTGCCAGTCAAAGGTCTTCTTTGTTATTTATTGTGCTTTAAAACAAATTGATATGATTCGATATTAAACAAACTAATTATAGTAGATTAACTACATTATTCAAAAGTGTACAGTCATTTACAATAACACTGGAATAATAAACGGAGCGCTCTCCCTCTCCTGACAGCCCGTCAGTATCATGCAGCTCGCGGATCAGTAATGAGTGACCCGACAGTAAAACTAAACATATCTATAACTAGTTACGGTAGTTTGAGAGGTCATTAAAATAGCTACGTGTGATATTCTAACCTGGTGTGTGTTTTGTTCCGCTCACCGCTGCATGTGATCATGCAGAGCTGCGTGTCGACTCGTCAGCAGCAGCTGATCTCTCTCTCCCGTCAGATTAGACTTTACTCGCGTGTATGTCCATATCGATCAGATCCAGCTAGTTCTAGCTAATGATAGGACTACCTGCTTATTAAAAGACACCTAAACAATAAGCGTCGCTATGCAACCGGGTGAGGCCGCAAAGTATAGCGCAGCATTATGCATTTGTTTACATGCCCACCGGAACCTTGAGGCATTACCAACAGATCAACGCACAATCAACCCATACAGGACATCTCTTTCTCCACATTACGTGTTAGACATTAGAATTGACTATTCTTGTCTGTCACATAAATGGCGCAAGTTGCGCAACTGATGTGGTATTGCGCTAAACGGAAATTATTTTGAACGGACACTTTGACCGGAGAGATTTAGATTTGCCGGTCTTCAGCATATTTTACCGGTCGTAGTCCGGTAATTACCGGCTAACGGGAACTCTGCTACACACTGTACCACACACACACCTACACACTGTACCACACACACACCTACACACTGTACCACACACACACCTACACACTGTACCACACACACACCTACAAACTGTACCACACACACACACCTACACACTGTACCACACACACACCTACACACTGTACCACACACACACCTACACACTGTACCACACACACACCTACTGTTAGAGATTAAAAGGGATATCTGGTCCGCTTTTCAAATCTCTGCGCGTCCCTATCAAGCTGGTTAATACAGGAAGAAATCCAGAGCTACCAAGTAAACAATAATCTACTTTAATGGTAATATGACAATACAATACAATCAATACAGTACAAATTCAATACAGTTAATCTTTGGGATCCCGAATTTACCTGCACGTGAGCCAGCCAGAGGCAAGAGGCTGAACACCGCGTGTGTGTCTGTGTTTATACTCTTTGACAATGGGAGGAGTTATCAGATCCTCCCATTTGGAGCTCATTGATTGGCAGCCCAAATATCACAGACACCTCCGACCTTAGGTTTCCCCAACCACTGTAGCTAGATAAGTTGAATGCAAATCAAGACATGCTCTCACCTTCCCCCATCTTCCTTTGTCCTCAAAAACACATGTCAACAGGCCCCAAATCCAGCTCACAGTTTTACCCAAATTATTCCCATTTTAAGCTTATCCATAGTTTGCTAACATGAATAAATACAAATCTTTCACTACAAATCCCCCTTTTTATCTCCTTCTCCAGAGATAAACTTAGACAAGGCATTTTGAAATATACCCACTGTCATTCTTTTCTACTGTGTCCGTCCCCCAAACATTGTATAAATCCATCCGAAGCTGGTATTTAGAGTACTTGAAAACTTCATGGAGACAGAACACCACTTTCCATGGCAGTGAAGGAACCATGAGGGGGCAGCTGAGTGCTAGAATCATCAGCCCCCCCCCCCTCGGAGGAATAGCCCACAAGGACAGCTAATAGGGAGGGGGAGATGCGGCTTCCCCTTCACGGGTGGAACTGATCAGAGAGAAGTAGACTCCTCTGCTGCCTCGACAAGTCCCCTGTGCCGTCCTGGCTTGCCGTGTCTTTGTCCCCCCGATCTGCTGACAGCAGCTTCTGGGCTGCCTGCTAGAGAGATGTCTTCCTCCTCCTCCTCCTCCGGCCCGCTGATGGCGGCTTCCGGGTCGATGCTGTAGAGATGTCTTCCCGATCCTCCTTCTCCGGCCCGCTGATGGCGGCTTCCGGGTCGATGCTGTAGAGATGTCTTCCCGATCCTCCTTCTCCGGCCCGCTGATGATGCCTCCCGGGTCGTCTGCTGTAAGGATGTCTCCAGGGTCCTGCTCCTCCAGTCCGCTGCTTCCGAGTAGTCCACCTCTGCCAGGGCCACGTCCGTCCTGATGTCGTCCCCTGGTCCTAGCAGGTGGTTTCCCCGCCGCACACTGGCTCCCGTGGTACGAGCTGTCCCCCTTTTCTCCCAGGCAGACGGCATAAGAGGTCCGCTGGGTCACTCGGTCGGGGCTGGAGAGCCTGGGGTTGAGCCACTTTGTCCTGATGACCTTCAGCCAGACGAACTCTGCTGTGTCGGCCTCGTGCTTCTCGGGTCCCCCTTTTGGCGCCAGCAACCTGTGTGGAGAAATCTGATACAACTCCCTCAAGCCTACGCTCAGCTGTTTTGACCCACTTGGAGCCTGTTGGTGGGGTGTCTTGAAACAACAGCCGTCTGTGAACAGGTTTTCTAAATTAATTGTAGACCTCCTATCTGCCAGTGCAGCTTCAGAATCTTAATACTTGGATTGTGCCAACTAAATAAGAACCTCAACATCTTTAGTTAAACTAAATAACATATTTCAATAGCTCTGAATTTCTGACAAGCATCCGTGTTTATTTTTAAATGAAATCCTATTTAAAATCCAAATATAATATGAACTGCTAATGTTTCTGGTAAAGAAACACACTAATGTTATGGATTCAAAAACAACCAAAATCACGATACTAACAAAGTGAATGATTTCCTGGTGATACTGCTTCTACCTGTCAGTGCTTAGATATTATCACGCTGAAAAAATGAATACAGAATTCCAACAAACTGTCATCAAATGTCTTTCTATTATAAATTTAGATGAAATGTATATCCCCATAATGACCTAAACAATAAAGTCTATGGCTTTTACTTCTTAGTTACATGATGTTGTCTAAATTAAATTCTGTCTCAATACATTACTATGTTTTAGCTTTAACTGTAATATGTTCTTTCTACATTTCAAACCTCAGTTACTCTAATGTCTGTTAAACTATTACAAAATTGTTTCATTATCACAGGTCAACTTCTTCGGTATTTTATTCTGGAATTACATCTCTCACAGTAGCCCCTTGGCCACTGATTCTGTGTTACCTGTTATAACTCAAATCAATATTTAGAAACATCTCAACATTCATCAAACAGTATCTTATCCCCAGATATGGAGCAGGTTAATTACATTCAATGCTCAGTTTGAACATCTGAGTTGGGGCGGAAGGTTTCTGTCAATCCTTAAAAGAAAAATTTAAATTGTGAATTTTACAGCCATGTTGACATTTATACATTATACACACTCCCCCCTTTTACACATGAAATCATGTGTAACAAAACCCTTTAATGGGAGGGGAACAAAAACTGCCAGGTAATTGGTTAGGGACATAATGAACATTATTTACAATTTGACATCCATTATCATTATTTCCACAGTAAACACTTCAGTGAAAAGAAGTGTTCCTCTCCGTCCTTCAGGCCTAAAAGAAACAGAATCTTCAGATTTTAGTTTTACATTTGCAAACCGCCAACTCATGTGAGAGTAAAATATAACCGGGTCACATGTGCGGTTTCCCCTTTTTGTGGAATTTTTAGGAAACCTCTCGTTTCCCTTGGAGCACCAAAATAATATGTTAGTCCAAAAACATGCTTGGTTGGTTATTGTTTTAGAATCATGCAGTTACACTGATCACATGCCGGCATACATTCACACTCACACTGTCTGGTTGTCATGTCAAGTTTGGTCAGCTTCACCCCAGAGTCAGTCATCCACAGTGCCTTGTCAAGTTACACTGTCGGTCAGGGTCAAAGGTCAGTTGGTCTCAATCTTTTTTATCCATGTGTCGTGCTCTGCAGAGACTTTGACATTTCAGCATAGGCCAGTATCCTTTGTCTACAAAAATATGTCACGATTTCAACTATGATTTTCAAGATGATTCTCACTTGTCATTGGGACTTCTGCCTCCCACTTTTCCTGAAACTTGGTACAAAACTCACTTCCTTCGAGTACTACTACTACTGCAATCCATTTACACCTAATTAGTATTAAAATGTCTAATGATCTATTTCAGAAACTTGTGTACATAACTATTATCTTGAGTCAAAACATTACTAGGATCTGTGTCGCTCTGCATTTCATAGCTCATCATACTCATTTATCTTTAATTCTGGTCTACTTAAAAAACAATGTTAAACTCTTTAGCAGTGTGTGGAACCTTGGGTGTCCGAACATGCAACAATTACTCCCTCCTTTATCAAGGATTTAAACCTATGGTAATAACTATGCCACAATGGTGAAATCAACACTTTAGATTGGAATTTCATATGTGCTTGGCACCAGCTCTCCCTTTAACATTATTAATACAAATAAAGATTTGTCCTATAGAGTGGTTCCTAAAACTATCCTTTTAATGGTGATCAATATTGTAACCAATGAGATCGCTACTTTATTCACACGTGAATCTCTTGGAGAATGATTTGTTAACATGATGAAAATATTGAAGAATATGGTTCTACTCTGTCAGTGTGTTTTAGGATGATTATCATTTTACTTTAATAGTTTCCTCTTTACTGCTATTTTTAATTTACCAATTGATTAATAAATCTTTCTGTCTTTACGTATTTATGAAGTTAATTCAAGTTATTTAAATGTGCGTTTTGTGAATAAGTGTGTTTATGTGTAAACTCACTCATTCCCGTTCTCCTTTTCTCCTCCCCTGGTTTTCTCAAGCCGTGACCCCGGCCTCCTCACTTCTAATCGACCATGCCAACTCCTCTGATTCTGTCTTCTCTTCAGTCCATCAGCTGTTGAATCCATCCGCTGTAACTTTTTTAGGCAGCCATTGGCCCAGTTACATCTGCAGCCCCATCATGCCACTGTTGTTGCACTCCTCCTTTACAGTCTCTCTGCTGTTTTTATGGAGGGCGGATTCTGCTCTCATGTCCTGTCTGAGGGGCTGATGAGAGTATCTCTCTGTATGTCAGCATGCTGTTTGGTTCTGGATGCCACATGTGGAGATAGTTCTGGCTGCAGTCTTGATGTATTCTTGTTGCTGTTGTTGGTTCAGCTCTGGTTCTCTGTCTGTACGATGGAGAAGGAGGAGTCTCCTGTTGGGTTAGGTCTTTTGTGTGCTTGGAGGGTCGGGATCGAAGCCTTTCTAACTCAGAGGGGGAGTCCAGGTCTCGGGACACCTTACCTACAGTATAAGAAGTCTAGCACACTGATGTTAAATAAATCCAACCCTTTCCACTCTGTCTCTTTCTAATCATACTATCTGTCTTAGTTGTTAAATGCCATCTAAACAACATAATTCATGTCTACTAATGATATTACAAAAACTCACTCCAAAAATTGTTTCATCCATTGTTACATATTTACCCAACACAACTCTGAAATACTTACATGTTTCCAGCATCACATATTCCACACACTACGAAAAAAAACATCCCCATATTTTCTCTCATTTTAAATCCCACTGTTACTTCGAACAATAGTAAACCTGCAGAGCACACCAATCGGATCACAGTAATGAAATTTGAATCAAGTGTAGGCCTATGTCTACTTTCTGAACATTTATTTATATTGTCTAAATTCCTTGTCTATGATGTGCAAACAGTTCAAGTGTAAAATGTGTTTTTCACAATGTATTTACACTCTACAGATTCTTGAGTTTACTCATCTCCTGGTGCTGTCGTTGTAAAAAATGTTCAATTCCTTATTGTTTTGTACCAGTTTTCCAAAATCAGTTCTAACTGCCGTGCCGTTTCTGGAAAGGTGGCGGTACGGCTACACAATGTGTAAGAAGGTGCCAACATGTTCCTTTTTTAACTTTGCTTTTATTTCTCTGACTTAATTAATATGTGTTCACTTGTATTAATATACTGGGCTATTGTCGTTGTTACTATTAACGTGCTTCCCGTCTTCAATACCGGCCAGCAATGTAATGAAAAATGTCAAGGGTGTGATACCCCCTTTCAGCCACTAGATGGCAGCAGCAGAAGTTTACAGATTAAACTCGAAGCTCGAAGCTAAACCATATAAAAATGTCAAGGGTGTGATACCCCCTTTCAGCCACTAGATGGCAGCAGCAGAAGTTTACAGACAAAGGGAAACGCTCTCCCTCGATTTAACATATAACAGACCTCTGGCTTTTAGCTTTCAGCCTTGGTCTGTTATTTAACCCCAGTTTTAAACGGCGACCCGATCTAAAATATCGTGTTTCCAGGTTTTGTCGTGCAGGAATCAAACCTCGCAACCAAACAAACTGCACCGTCTCCACGCCACTCAGGAATAAACTACCTGCAGATCCGCGCCAAACTGCTCTATTTACGTTACGCAGGACTTTCCGTCTACCTGGCGATCAACGTTCACGTTTTGTATATAACTTTCCTAACATAGTAAAATATGCATTGTATATTCCATTTAAACTTTCTCGTCGTCTGGATTCTTCCTCAGCTTCGTTATATCTAGCACGTCCGGGTCACCACTTGTTAGAGATTAAAAGGGATATCTGGTCCGCTTTTCAAATCTCTGCGCGTCCCTATCAAGCTGGTTAATACAGGAAGAAATCCAGAGCTACCAAGTAAACAATAATCTACTTTAATGGTAATATGACAATACAATACAATCAATACAGTACAAATTCAATACAGATAATCTTTGGGATCCCGAATTTACCTGCACGTGAGCCAGCCAGAGGAAAGAGGCTGAACACCGCGTGTGTGTCTGTGTTTATACTCTTTGACAATGGGAGGAGTTATCAGATCCTCTCATTTGGAGCTCATTGATTGGCAGCCCAAATATCGCAGACACCTCCGACCTTAGGTTTCCCCAACCACTGTAGCTAGATAAGTTGAATGCAAATCAAGACATGCTCTCACCTTCCCCCATCTTCCTTTGTCCTCAAAAACACATGTCAACAGGCCCCAAATCCAGCTCACAGTTTTACCCAAATTATTCCCATTTTAAGCTTATCCATAGTTTGCTAACATGAATAAATACAAATCTTTCACTACACTACACACTGTACCACACACACACCTACACACTGTACCACACACACACACCTACAAACTGTACAACACACACACCTACACACTGTACAACACACACACACCTAAACACTGTACAACACACACACCTACACACTGTACCACACACACACCTACACACTGTACCACACACACCTACAGCTCCTAAAGCATAATCAGGCTACAGCCGTTGTGTATTTTATTATGTGAAGCACTAAATGGTCTTTGAAAAGTATCGACTCTTTGTTTGTAGATATCTACTAAACTAAAGCAAATAAAGAGAGTAGGCCTGTTCTACTGAGTGATATATATTATACACACTGCTCTGCTTTCTGCATGGACCTCACAGCTGTTCTCTCTGGAAACATCGCATTGCGATGAGAGCAGTTAATAAAATAATATCCAGGGGATGCATGCAGAGCTGTCATTGGCTGAGATAAGTCCGGCCGTGTGTCACGCCTCCACCGTTCCCGGAAATGCATCCGCGGAGGAGCCATGGAGGAACCATCAGTGTATCCTCGGTTATAGTTCCTCCAGAGAGCCTCCTCGACGCTCGATCCTCGGTGTGCATTTAGAGAAATGAGATGTCCTTCAAAATGGCGGGCTGAAATCCATTTCCGGGTCACTACTGGAGGACCGAGGAGTCGAGGAGGGAAATTAGAGTATTGAGAAGCCTCTCAGGTAACAGTCTACCTGTACTTGAACAGGCGAACCTCTTGAACCAAGCCAAATCCCTACATACAGGGCTACTCCCCTCCCAAATGGTAAATAAATCCCATGTCTCCTATTTGAAGCTATTATGTATCTTAGTTCTTAATTTCATTAAGCATTAATAACTGTCAAAAACAATAACAAAGTCAATAATTCCTTATTGATTTTGAAACATGCGTATACTCACAAAACAATGTTTTTCTAAACTCTTAACAGCATTCAAGGCAACATTATTTGTTTTCAAATATTCTTCATAAAATGAATATAATAAGCTGACTAGTCTTTACACACTAAACAGTACACAGTAAATGATTATGAGCTGCAACATATTTTGGTATCTTTCAATTAAACAGCAATGCATAGAAAATAGGCCAACAGTTTACACACAAATATACTAATTCCATGAGAATTATAGCATGCATCTACCTTCACTGAGGCTTTGAGGATGTCCAGCGAGCCATTCTCATAGCAGATGGTTCTGGACGTATTGCCTATAAGCTTTCCATCAGGACTGACCCAGTGTGTTGAAGGCTCAGGATCGCCGATGGACTTACAGCGTAGGCTGACCTCCTGACCCTCCATCACAAACATCTTGGAGGTGTGACGAGTAATCATTGGTGGTTCACAAACAAACTCCTCCTGTTAAGGGACATATGAAAAGACAGCGTTAATTAATTGCTACACAAGATTCCAGCCTGTGGAACACATTAAGATAAGATAAACCTTAATATATCCCCGTAGGGAAAGTCATATGTTTTAGAAGCAACAGGCACTAGATATAAACACAGCACCAGTTACGGGGGTTGTTGTTAGCATCTGGTGCTAGCTCGGAGCTAACGGAGATTAGAAGCTGTTTTAACAATAAGGAGAGGGAGAGTCCGAGAGGCTGAGATAACGTCAGTTTAGGTGAGGTAAACGACTCGTTGAGTGATTCGATTGTAAACTTTAGTCTAAGTTATCTCAGTGGGTCTCAAACAGTTTGGTCATCTATGTAAACAAATATTTGCATCTATTTAATATAGTTGTAAAAAATAAGTTAAGAAATCATTCCAATGTGTACTATTGGTCAGTAAAAAAATCAAAACACAGTTTAAAAGGGGAGTGATTAGTAAAATATGCATAAATAACAAGAAAGAATGCAGACTAGGTAAGATAGGAGAGAGGAGTTTAAATATTATAAACATTTGTTATTGGTTGTGAGCATATTCTAATGTTTTTTTTATTAGTTCTGTTTCATATGAGTGTTGAGAGTTGTATCCCAATGTTGCCCTCAAAGTGCACCAGATGCATTTAACTTCAATTTAAAGAAAAAAATCTTCTTAGTTACCATTAAAAAAAGGTCGGGAGCTACTGTGGTATTTTAACCAGGAAAGGAGAGTGGCTGAAAATGAAATGTGTCCTCTAAATCAGGGGTTCCCAACCCCCGGGAGGTGTTACTGCCGGGCTGCGAAATAGCTGTGAATTTATCGTAATATTTTGCAGAATTATAAATATATAAAAATATTTTTATCATAAGGTCTTTTCAAAAAGTGTTTCATTTTCGCACCTATACCAGTCATATTATTTCATCCAGTAGCCTAGTTCCATCAGAAAACAGTTGAAAATGGCTTTTATGGTGTTCCGAGGGATTTGGCGGCTCAGCAGGTCTCAGCCTCTCGTTCGCAGGAGAAAGTTACCTACCGGTGCGCCAAGTAGGAAGAGGAGCGCACAGGAGACAACCGTTTAATTGCAGACTGATATGTTTATGTGGGGAAATGGCAGTGCATACATTATTTGAGATATATTTCAAACTCAGACTTCATTTTAAGGACATGTCGGCCAGGGGTGTAGAGCTACTTGTTTAAGCACCGGATTGGCAAAACTGTAAACCAGTCTGCCTTGATCTATGAATTCATGTCCGAGACTCTCACGGTATCTGCTGCCACAACTGTTTTATAGAATGAAAACCTCCTTCACTTCATGAAATGGCTGCAGCATCAGGAGGCAGCGGGACGTATACTCTGCCTCTGAGAAGTGCAGCACCAGCGCGCCGAGAGCTGTGCCTTTTTACGCACCGCCTTCACTGTGTTTACCTTCATCAACAGCTTAAGAGTGACTGCAGGCTGCTACGTGTTAACCAATTATTTAGTGGGAATGCTGATAACAGCATTCCCACTAAATGTTATTCTACGGACAAAAAGTGTATTATTCCGCCGACTTATTTTGGCCCTCTTCTCCTCCCATATTGAACATCGCAGAAACTCCGTTCAAATATCAAAACGTTCAGCTCGGTCGGGAATCGATGGCTCTTACTTTTCTCATGCATAACTTTCATAATTCCAGAGATACATCCCATAATACATCACATTTTTAACCATTGAAGTCAATGGAGAGATTCTTCAGACTTCAACAAATCTTCATGCGACTTCAACTGCTAACTATTCATTCATACTTTCACTCAGAAACCTTATTCCAACTTTAAAATGTTACACATCTTTCTGACATTATTCCTGTAAAACAAAATCTGATTCTTACTTTTAGAGATATTAAACATTGTTCAGACCTTGTTAAAGAGGTTTTCTTCCGATTTTAACATTAACTAGAGTGTGTGATATCACAGCTAGTGGGTAGAACATCTTGAAATTTGCCTTCATATATTTTTTTAAAACTGCCATAATTCCAAAACCCTACATTCCTGAGACATCATTTATCATGACAAACGTAGGAAAACATCTCGTTGCTTGAAAAATGACAAATAATTAAGCAAAAATAATTCAACAAAATGCCTCGTGAGGGCATGAAGTGACAAAAACCTTCAACATGCCTCCATTAAAGCCCATTGTAATTTCAGGCTGCACACCTCGTTAGTTCAAATATAAACACCTGTGTAATGGAACACGATGATGTCATCACTCCAACTGACATGGTCAGAGCAGCAGACTTCAGATAAAGGTTAATGGTCCTGCCCTCAACAGCTCTACGTCCATTATGGGGTGTCATCATCATATGACGAAGAGAGAGAGAGAGAGAGAGAGAGAGGAGAGAGAGAGAGAGAGAGAGAGAGAGTGAGAGAGAGGAGAGAGAGAGAGAGAGAGAGAGAGAGAGAGAGAGGAGAGAGAGAGAGAGAGAGAGAGAGAGAGACGGAGAGGAGAGAGAGAGAGAGTAAGTAATGTAACCTCCTAATGTATTGTATAACTCCTATGAACATTTTCAAAAAGTGCTCAAACTTCACATGTGTGCTAACAGTCCAGCCGTGAAGACATATACGGGACAGTTTTAAGATTTCTTCAAATGCCGTTACCATGGCAACACCATGCTCGCCTTGAAACACGGTTTTCTCATAACTTCAGTGAAAATACTCCAAACAGCCCAGAACTTCACAGGTTTGGTAACGATGCAGCCATCAACGCATCTAAGCGTAGGGTGTCATCAAATGCCGTTGCCATGGCGACAAATAACTCGCCATGAAACAGGATGTCACTGTAAGTCCAACCTTCACTTCTATATCACCGGTCCAGCCCTCAACAGCTCTACGTCAATTATGGGGTTTCATCATATGCCGTTTCCATGGAAACGCATCCCTCGCCATAAAACAAGATGTCGCTATAACTCCTATGAACATTTTCAAAAACACTTTCTTCTTACACATTACATTTCAGCATAGCAGTTTAGTTTTATGAAGGAGATGTCCGGTCACCAAGGCGCATGATGTTAAGATTAAGTATGTGCTCTGCTCAGCTCTGTGTGTGTGTGTCCCAGTGGCATAGCCACCATAGGGCCAGGGTGGGCCCAGGCCCACCCAGTTTACTCATTGGCCCACCCTGATAAAGCTTCGGTGTAATTTTACATTTTTTTATTATTTTATTATTATTATAAAAAAATGTATTCACCCATTGAGAATATCCAAGTATTCAAAGTGAAATTCAAGTGAACAAATCTCGAGTTTAATTAATGTTGTAGGCCTATGTGTTTTATCCTCTGAACCAAACTCATTTACGGTAAAAACTGATTGTTGGTTCCGGCGCGCACCATGATAACAGAGAGCTGTTTTTTTAAAAAAACCAGACTCCAAGAAGAGTTGCCCTCATCTAGCAGTGATCTATACGATCATTTTCTGATAAAGATGAAATAGCCTTGTCTCCCTCTCCCCACGTCTCCCTCTCCCCACCTATCCTGCTGCTGGGCTGTCAGAAGAAGAAAAAATGTTAACGGAAACTCTGCCGCACGGTTCCCTCGTCCCTTGGAAGAGGCGGAGAGGTGGGTGTTTTTCATCTGCTGGTGGACAGTCCGGAGAGATATACACAGTAGGGGTGTAACGGTTCACAGAAGTCACGGTTCGGTTCATATCTCGGTTTGGGGGTCACGGTTCGGTACGGGTTCGGTACAACAAGGAAAAGCAAAAAAAAGTCCCAAATGCATAATTTTTTTTGCTGTTATTTATTTTTAACAGTAGTGCAAGTTTTGGTATGAAAATAAGGAACTCTACCATTTGGAATCATTAACTGTATTACACAGTTAAAAACAAACCACAAACAGTACCACATACACATAAGCTGTACAACTAAAAAGAATGTCGAAATATGTTGAAAATATTAAAATAAATAATAAGAGAGTGTTTGAATCACAATCAATAAAAGGCAATACAGAACTGTATAACATCTCCTGATGTCAAAATATAAAATAAATACAATGATAAATATAAAACAAAATAAAATCTGTACCTTTAGGAGCAATGTCTAACATGTGTAATTAACTTGTGAGTGTGTGTGAGGCCATTATGCCTAAATAAAGGTACTCAAGCTTTACTATATTTTCAAGTTTTTCTTCAAAAAGATGAGTTTGTCTACGTTTTCAGTAGTGAGGGCAGATCTGTTGGCGGTAACTATGTCACCTGCCGTCGAGAAAACCCTCTCGCTGGGGACTGAGACTGACTCGGATGTGATTGAGCATGTTTGACGTGTTACCACTAGCATAGTCGAACAACGCCGACACACCGTCCTCGTCCGATCCATAACTCGCACCCCATCATTGTTGTAGTCCACAGGGAACCCAAAATGTTCCCACACAGCTGATTTAAAAGAAGCTCCTGTGTGTTGTGTGAACTCGCCATAGCTACTAACTTTTCTTCTTCATGTATTGTGTTCGTTTTGTTGTGTTTTGTTCTTCATTTGTTATTTACGGGCGGCTGGCTTTTAGGCGCAATACCGCCCCCTGGATTATATATAGTGTAATAGAGTGACAGACTTTTTTCCCACTCGTAAAAAAAGGCGTATTCGCCGTGTGACTGCATGTGCCGAACCGTGACGTCCGAACCGTGACGGTACGGGACGAATACGGATACCGTTACACCCCTAATACACAGGGTTGGGTTGTAACGGCTACATGTAACGGCTACATGTAACGGCGTTACGTAATCAGAATACAAAAATCAAGTGTCTTCAGATGGCGTTACATTTCAAAAACGAGTAATCTGATTACAGTTACTTTCGTAAACCTGAAGAGAATACATTTTGGAGTACTTATTGGTATTATTGGTGGAAAAGTTTCCTCACAACATGTAATATTCATAGCCATATGGCTATCTAACCCTCCATTGGAGCCTTCTGTATGGCCACCGTCCGGGTGTGTATGCAAACATGACCAACACTGAGGTCTTTGAG